ATCTATCTATCTATCTATCTATCTATCTATCTATCTATCTATCTATCTATATATCTATATATCTATCTATCTATCCGTGTGATCACTGCAAGAAGTATCCACTGGAGCCTAGTCGGGTTATCAGAGGGTACAACACTGAAGGGCCATGATTCCCGTTATACTGATCTGTCAGTAATAAATAGCTCAGTGGTAAGAGGTAAAGACCCTCTCCATTCTTGTGCGTGGCCAATGCAGACATCCATAGCTGCTCTGAGGTCATGAATACAATGTCTGTGTCTTGTCTAGAAGATGCCAGAAGTTCACAGCCCTTTCTCAAAACTGTTACACCACCCCCACGCTGCCGTTCCCTGGGCCTTACAAGCTGTAATGTAACTGTCTTGTGTAGTCATACACACCCATCCATCTTGCTGGTTATATCTGGTTTTGGTTTGAGGTGGTTTTGATTCCGTATTCTTCTAGAAGAATGTGAGTGAATGTGTCCAAGAATATTTTATTAGAACGACCCAAGGATTATTTTTATTAGGTGAAATCTTTCTTTTAACATGCTTTATAATTGTATCGTGTCCTTCAGGATGTCCATGTGTGTCAAGTTTGTGCGTGTGAGGGAACAGAAAGTTCATGAAAATTTAGAAACCATGGCCACCTGATAGAGAAGTCTGAAAAATGGAAACTTTGCACTGAAGGTCAGCATTTGCAACTGGCCCAAGCTGGCCAGGAAATCATCAAACACTCAACTACAAATTACTTCTGAGAATGCTCATAGTGGGACAAGCAAGTGTTCAAATCTGGACAAGGTCCATCCCATGACAAGCAACACCTGGTATCCATAGATCACTTGCCCAGACAATTGCTTATAATCGGACACAGCCTCCATCGCTTCAGCCACAAAGGAAAATGCGGACGATATTTCGGGGCAACTTCAATAGATCTGAATAGCTGAGGTTTTGATTTTGATAAATTGCTCATCTTATATTATTCCTTCAAGGAGACCTCTACTTTTAGAGGGAGCCTGGGGGGAAAAATCATCTGTGTGTGTCGATGGTGAGGCAAGTAATAGAATGGGAACTGTCTCATCCTAAAAGCAGTAAAACTTCCTGCACATTGTCAGCTAAAACTGAGATTGATGGGGATAAGGGTAGGGAAAAGAGATTGAAAGTGACAATACATCCTTCTCCACAAAGTCTCTTCCTGATAGGGTACTATCCTACAGGAGTTTCACTGGGACTTTCAGTACTGACGCTCACCAACTGATGCCTCCCCGGGCTGGTAACTTAAACCTAGTGTGAAAAAATGCATAGGGAGCTAGTAAAACCTTAGAGCAAGCTTTACTAACTCCATGAAATCCAGTCTGGTCCATACATAGAACCTTAAGAGGACCTTCCTAGTTAGAATGTGCTCCTAGCTACCATCACTGTCTTTTCCATTTCTTCTTTATATTTATTTCTAGGGATGAATGCTATTCTCTCTCTCTCTTTCTCTCTCTCTCTCTCTCTCTCTTGTCCCAAGTGGAGAATTCTGGGGCTCAAATTTAAGGTCTAGAATTCAACCTTCCCTTTTGATTTTAATTGTACGATGTGTCTTAGGGTCTAATGGTGCCCAGCATCATTTGCACTTTTTCATTTGAGGCGTCCTCCCCCACCCCCCTTCACACACCCACAAACACACACGCACACAAATTAATTGTCAACTCTATAAATCCAACAAAATCCATGACTCCTTTACCTCCAGATCTCTCAGAATCAATAACTGTGTATTTGTTTCTCCACAGAAGTTCTTGCCGAGATGTAGGTGGGGTCTTTTTAGATAACATGCCTTATATCTCAGATGATTTATTCACTCTCAGGTTCTCTAGAATTTATTGCTAAAGGTTGTGTTGGATGCTTACAGCTTGGCCTCTAATATAATCTCCCAAGTGGCAATTAATAAATAAAAGATGGCTGCTGTTGTTGACAGAGTATCTAGGCTGTCTCGGTTAGCTCTTTTCTTCATGTTTTCACCAAAATTGTGTCAGATATCCCTAGGGGTTGAAGTAAAATATATATATATATATATTGTAAATTGTAAAGCTTTTACTGTTGTTTCAATATTCCCAGATCTCTATGTTGTCTTTTGTTTTCCTTGTCAGAAATGATCTTACTTAATTCTTTTTTTAACCCTCCTTCCTTGCTGTGAATCGGGGGGAAAGTGCCTTTTTCTGGATCTAACAGTAACGTAGCCTTAGTATTTATGCTTGCAGATAGCACCTGCGAATTTGCCCCTGAATTTTCTTGTATTTTTCTCAGTCTCTTCTCAGTTTCCTTTATTGAATATGCACTGTCATCTATAAAATGAGGTGTTTATTGTCATTGTGCATATTGTTCACAGTGTGAGCTTGCCTCCTTAAATTAATGATGAAACCATCCAGTTTTTGCAGTTTGCTGGCTTGACTGGGTGGGCTCCAGGGCTCATCGAGACTAATATTTTTATTTCAGGGATGAGGAACATGTAGGTCAGCTTAGGAATCTTGACCATAATCAAGTAGAGGGCAGATGCAGAACACACCTTGAGGTTGTAAAGTACATGGTATGAAGCAGAAAAGCCGCAATTGCGCTGCCTCTGCTCAGTGCCCAGTGGGCAGTTGACGCGTGTAACTGTAGCTCATTGCTTCTATTTTCTTATGTATAAATGCCAACATGGGCCAGGGGCTTAGTTTTGTAATAGACCATTCGCTTAGTGTGCTTAAGGCCTAAGGTTTGTTTCCCTAGCCCCCAAACCGTCCCATGATTGGTATCAGTGTAAGGACTGTAGTAAGTTAAGAGCATTAAACGACAGGGTAGTGTTCGGCACACTCTGAGGGTTCTGTGCATGGTTAGCTATCACTGGAGTTCTTTAAGTATTCCAGCAAAGGCGGAAATGTGTGCTACTACCAACTTCATGTGGCTGTAACATATATCAGACCTATTAGCCCTGCCTGGACCTGTCTTCTAGCCCATGGACTGGGCAGGAAGAAGCTAGGAGTCACATCCACGGTGGGAGTGGAAGCAGAAATGAAAACGGTAATAGCAACATTAAGGGGTAGCGTATTTGCCAGTCCTCAGGATATGCCATGCATTGAAGTTGGTGCTCACATATATAATGGTCCGCATGAGCTCATGTCATACCTATAGACACACTGCCTAGTCAGATGTGTTCAGAAACATGGCGCACCGTCTCGATGACAATAGTCTCCCCGGTAACTGGAGGGGAGTGGCTAGGCCTTGGTAGAACAGCTTAAATGCTGAAACAAAAGCCTTAGTGGAATTATTTCTATCTTTGAAGTAAGCACTTTGCTACTGAGATGTCTATCGATTAATCTTGTTCATTGATAACGAGGCCGGCTGGGACAGGAGGGGAGACTGAGGAAGAGAGTGGGAGGTGAGCAGGCCTCAGGCAAGAGACACCATACAGGAAGATAGTATATGGCAGAAGATAGGCCCTTGAACCCTCTTGTGTTTTCCTTCCCTGTGCTGTGATTGCTTATTATACAAAAAGGATACTTCTGTCCTGGGTCCCAAACGGAGCTAGAGTTGGGGCATCAACAGTAAGAAAAGCCCTTTTCTTGCTTGACTTGCTTTATTCGGCACACTAAATAAATCTTATTCACCATGCATTAATTGTCTTTAGGATAATGTAAAGAATTGAATTATGAAAATTCTAATCATTAATGGGCCTTGATTTCCAGGCAATCGAATAAACAGCTCTGGCAGTGATAACAGGTGCGCTGCAGGAGACAACCAGGATTTGTGCTAAGAGAAAAGCACCTATTGTGTTAGGTGCGTTATGAGTTTGTGGCCTTGTCTTGGCAGTGGTGGTGCATGCCTTTAACCTCAGCACTCCAGAAGCAGAGGCAGGCAGATCTCTGTGAGTTTGAGGCCAGCCTGGTCCACATAGAGTTTGTGTGTCTCTATGTCCAAATGTGTGTACATGGATGTATATACTCTCAAACAGTCAATCCGTAGAGAGTGACTTTGCAAGTTCACGTATGTGTGAATATATATATATATATACATATATGCACACATATATACATATGTGAACACAGATACCTATGTATGCATATACACAGATGCATATAAATTTAGGTGTGTAAAACATTTAAATACTGTCATCTAAAAGCGTACCACAGCTTTAGAAAAAGAAACTGAGGTTCAGAGATGGTAGCCATTTGCCCAAGATTACAAAAAGATGATGGCAAAACTGGACTTTAACCACCAACATTTACTGACTTAACACACCCCTTTTTGAAACTGCCCAAACAGAAATATTCTTAGAATAATGAGTATTTCCACCATAGCACACTCCTCCACCAAGGAAAGGACTGACCTTTTATCCTTTCTCTTTCAGACTCCCCAAGCAAAGATTTTGGTCCAACTTTGGGTCTGAAGAAGTCCAGTTCCTTGGAGAGCCTACAGACTGCTGTGGCCGAAGTTAGGAAGAATGATCTTCCCTTCCACAGGCCCAGACCACACATGGTGCGAGGCCGGGGTTGCAACGAGAGCTTCAGAGCAGCCATTGACAAATCTTACGATGGGCCAGAAGAGGTGGAAGCCGGTAGGGCTGTATGCCTCCTTAAGTGGGTTCTTTGTCTCATTATTATCTGCATATTGTAAGCGAAAATGTGCACTTAACTACTGAAAAAAATGATTTAAGGATCACAATTATATTCTTGATATTAAAAGTAATTCATTTTCCTGATATGTTTTGCCCTTTGGCTTAAGGAACATGGGATTGGAGGATGCTATGTGCAATTTATTTCACAGTGCAAACTGAAAAAATAAATAAATAAATAAATGTTCTCTTTCACTTTTTTAGAAGGACCAACTGTCATTTACCCTGAGGGCAGGAGCACTAACCATGCTTTTCTTGGCATTCTTATTTGAATCATTAAAAGCAACATCAACCAGAGGACCGGCTGCCTTAATTGCATGGAAGCAGTGGGTTGTATTTATGCTCGGAAACCTCTCTTGGAAAGAAGCTCACCGGGTTTGTTACCCAGCATGTGGGCTTTCCGAGCTGATGAAGGTTAACAAGCTAGCTTTCGGGAGAGATCAGTGCTTTAGCACATTTCAAGCCTTTTGTGCAACCAGCTAGCAACCACTGTGCTCCATCCTAGCCTCAAACCTTGCCCGAAGTACCCAGGGCTGGGAAATCCTTTCTTCAAAGGGTGCAAGTAGCCATGCGGTTCGGCAGAACACAGAGCACTGCTATTCATTCTTCTGTCTTTTACATTTTGACTGTTTTTTATATATACTAACCATAAGCGCCCCTGACCACGGATATTGATTTTTCTCTCCACAGACGGTCTCTCTGATAAGAGCTCTCACTCTGGCCATGGAGCTCTGAATTGTGAGTCTTCCCCTCAGGGAAACCCCGAGCTAGATGCTGTGGAAAATAAAGCCAGAAAAGTAAAAAAAACGAAAGAGAAGGAGAAGAAAAAGGGAAAGGGCAAGCTGAAAGTCAAGGAAAAAAAGCAAAAGGAGGAGAGTGAAGACCCAGAGAGAAAAATGAAGAGGAAGGGATTCGGTGCCATGCTGAGGTAAGGGCCTCCTGCATAGTCACTCGTCATTGGTTCTCCTGGCTGAATCACCCCTTTGTGTGTGCTCACAAAAAGGTTCACGTTTTCGCTCATCTTCAGCTGTAGTCACAAAAATCAAGGCCATGACTGTAATTTCTTTCTTTTCTTTTTCTTTCTTTTTTCTTTTTTTTTTGGGTGGGGGGAGGAGTTCCCTGCCACATGTGTTGATAACTTGAGACTGTCATAATCCTGTTGACAAAAAAGGCCAGCACTTAGTAGGGTACATAGGAAGTATTTCCTGTGTGTCGCTCAGCACAGTGAAAGCAAGAGGTCGGTGTGACCTCCTCCTTCTGTGACATCTGCTACTCGGGTCACCAGAACAGCAGCTGTCACCTGCAGAGGCCCTGTGAGTCACTAGAGTTGTCCCTGGGATGAGGGCTATATGGCGCTTGTCTCGACCCATGACCTTCCACATCTCAGCCATAGCTTTCACACATTTCCTGTCTTCTCCTCTCTGACTGATGCTAACTCCATGCCTTCCTGTGGGCTCCACGGGCCTGGGAGGTAAGACACACAGTGGATTCAGTGGCTGAGAGTGTGGAGCACACAGCCAGAACATAGTTTGTTTCCTCTCATACAACTGTCCTCCAAAACACACACTGTGGAAACCATCTTTTCTACGTTCTGGTTTCCTAGGGATGGGGCTGATCTCTGGCCACTTGACCAGAGGCTTGCGCAACTAGTCAATGTAAACCAAAGTATACTTCCTGCCTGAGCATGGAACTTCCCAGTCTGTGGAACCAGGTGCAGGGGAATGTTAAACTGGAGAATATTTTGACCGGTCTAGGTGGTACACACTGACCACCAGGGTCCCTTTATGAGTGAACACCTGGGTGCACTATTCCAGAAGCCCTTTCTGCTGATGGAAATCATTCTCCCAACTGACTTACTCTCAGCTCTTGACTGCAGACAGTGTACCTAGAGTCTCCTTACCCAAGCTGGCAGACTTCTTATATGGTGGCAGACTATGTCACAGTGGTGGCAGCTGCAGCGGCGGCAGCACCTAACCAAGGCCTTAAATGCAGAGAGAAGGCTGTCACGATGTAGCCGCTGCAGCAGCATCTACCTGGCATGCTTCAGTCATTAATCTCTTACCCACCCAAAACACTCAAGGGCAGCTTGTTCCCACGGCTCCCCCTCCCCCACCCCCACCCCGAATCCCAACCACCACATGGGTGTCACACCAGCCTTGCTTCCTAAGACCTCTCTAGAGCAACTCAGACCCCGGTTTGCCCTCCTTCCTAGAAAGATTTGCCAGACTCCCTCAAGCATGCCCTGGCGCTTTGCCATTGTGCTTAGGTCAAGGGAGAAAAATCAGAAAATGTTTGCTGGTCACAAAGCAGATGGATTTATAAAATCACTTCCTGATTCTCAGAGGATTTTCTTGTAGCTTATGTTTGGGGGAGTGGGAAATAAGGTAGAGGTATCCATTTCATTACTTTATTTCTATAACTCCCTATCAAATCTATCCATTTCATTTCTGTCCTTTGTGCTCTGAATGACAGACGACGTATCATGGATTTAACCATATTTTGAAAAACCATTAGCATGTCTGTCTCTTAAAAATGCTGGGGGATGCAAGGTACTAGTTATTTTCAGTGTGAAATCTTCAATTGGTATTTTCAGATAGAAAAAAATTCAATCATCTTATTCCAGCTTCCCTCCCTTCCTTTTCTCCTTCCTTTTCTGTGTGTATGTCTCTCTCTTTCTCGCACACACACACATACACATACACACACACACACACCTTAGGAACTGCAAAATAACATTTAAAGGACACAAATAGTGTAGACAACTCTGAACCCTCCTATTACATGCCCAGTGTTCAAACAATGCTACTTCAGTACAGTATGCTCCTCAAAATCTTTGGGTAGGGAGATGGGAGGGCCTCAAGATAGGGTCTTTCTGTGTAGCCCTAGCTGTTCTGAAACTTGCTGTGTAGACCCGGATGGCCTCCAACTCACAGGGAACCATGATAAAAACTGTGACCAAGACAACTTAAAAATGAAAGTTGGAGTTAGAGTCCGTGACGGTGGTACAAAGAAATAGTGGCAGAAAGAACTGAGAACTCACATATTAAAACTAGAATCAGAAAGCAGAAAGAGAACTATAAAAATGGCAAGATCCTTTTTCTCAAAGGCTACCTCCAATTACACACCTCTTCCAAAAAGGCCACACCTCCTAATCCTTCTTAAACAGTTCTACCAACTAGGAACAAAATATTCAAACACAGGAGACCCATTCTTGTTCAGTTTATCATGTCACGCTAGCAGGTCTGATGCCCTGGAAATCATTTGACTATCAAAGGATAAAATTTCAAATTTAAAGATCAAATCTTTTGTTATTGACTTGTTGATGAGGCCCCATCTCGCCTACAGAAGAAAGAGGCTTGGACAAGCTAAGTACAAGGCATGTGCTCTATAAATAGCAAAAGGATGAAGACACCAGAAACAAGAAACATGGAGAGGATTGGTCACTGCAAACAGCCTTCTCCGAGATATACAGAACAACGGGCTTTATCACCATGGTGTCTCAGGATGACAGGACCTTTTTTGACTGGTTACTGTGAACCTGGTATTTTGAAAACTTGTCCCATTTCAAAGTTCAGTTTGATCATGTGGTACTTAGCACACACAAGTGACCACATTCTGCCTTTAGGCTCCCTCGGGAGCTCAGTGAAAAGCAGGGCCCTCCTTCTACTCCACATGACCTACAGTCTAGTGACCCCCAGTGAGACGCAGCTTTCCATAAATATCGTTTGGTTCTTTCCACGGGGCCATCTAGATTCTGCCCCTCCTTTGCCACCTTGAGTTTTAGAGTCCAAGGTATCCTTGTTATGGCCACCAAGTGTTGTAGGCAGTTGGGGGTGGGAGATGGCTCATGTGCCAGCACTGAGTTTGCATCCTTGGAATCCACACATATGATCCCCTGGTGACGACAGCATGTCCAGTGCAAGCTGCCTAGACTAATCAACCTAGCAAACTCTGGGCTCAAGTGAGGGATCCTGCCTCCATAGGTAAGGTGAAGAGCAATCAAGGAAACATTCAGCTTCAGCCTTTGGGCTTCCACACGTGTGTGTACACGCATTTCCACACTCACCTTCACCTACGTACACGTGCCCCCATGAATGCACACCATGCGTCCATACGCACAGTAAATGAAGTAAATGCATGAAGCGCTATTAGGAAAAGACGTTACAGTCTGCAATGTGAGCGTGCTGGCGATAATTTTAACAGCATTTCCATGAGAATTTTGTCTGTGAAGTTGTAATGTTCAATGGTGCAGTCCAGGCTCTGCATGAGGAGTTCTGAGTTTCATCACTGACTCGGGAACATTGGGCAAACCAACCCATTTACTTTGGTTTCTTCATCTGAAAACTGAGAGTAATAATTGGATCTACTATCATTGTTCAGAACTATGCTTTACAAGTAATATATATATATATATATTATATATATATAATATATATATAATATATATATATATATATTCGGTAACAAACAAATTTTCCCTTAGAAAGCCCAAGTCCTAATCCCGAGTATCTGTGAATGAGCTGTTTGACAAAGGAGAATCAGGGTTACAGAAGGCAGGAGGAGAAGGCAGGAGGCTGGCTGCTCTACTGGCTCTGAGATAAGGCAGGTGTCCTGAGTTTCCTCAGGGAGCCTAATGTAATTGCAGGGCCTTACAAGCAGAAATGGAAGACATGATAAGGAAAGATGGTGAAAACAAATACGGCCTGCTTGCTGTGAAAATGGAGGGAAGTGCACACGAGACAAGGAATGTGGGCAGCCTGCGTAAGTGGGCAAGGACAAGGAAATGGCTTCCCTCTGGCCAGCCCCTAACGCATATTTTCACCCATATGCGTTATTCAAGCCAGTAAGATTGTGCTAATTGCTTACAGTATCAACGGAAACCAGCACGGTCATTATCATAAGTATTATTACTGCTTTTACAATGTCACAGTAATTTATAAGGACAAGTTTCCTCTTTAGGGTATTAAGGAAACAAAACTATAAAAATGATTTAGCTGTAATAATCTGTAAATATGAAAACTATCAGAGGCTCACAGGGCCTCTTTCTGAGACTGTCACCAAGTTAAACCCTGACTGTATTTTCTGTGACATGGGGGGCTCCATGTACTTATTACCCACATTGCAGGGCCAACCCTTCCCTCTTTTCCCTCCTTATATGCTCTGTATCTCCATATAGTGGGTGCCACAGATCTTGGATCCCCTAGACACACAGCACCTTGCCTTTTGTTCCCTTTCACCACACTAGCAAAATCAAGAACCGGGAGGTGATGTTAGATTTTTATCTTCTGTATAAAAATAGCAACTGTTTTCCATAGCCTTTTACATCTGAGTTGGCGAGCATATTGGAGTTGCTGCTACATGCACCGTTTCAGCAACAAAGAACACAAAAGCTGTTACCATTAGCCGACAGATTTTGCTTTAATTCTCATCTGTTGCTCAGATGCTATTGACTTAGTTTCTTTCTTATTTAAAAAAGATTGATTGCTCTGAGGTTCTCTTAGCATTAGATGTGACTTACATATGCATTACTTTTACTTTCCCCATTGTCTGCACCTCTCTGCTCTACTGCATTCCTGAACGGAGGCTGTGCATCTGCATTTACTCCCTGGACAGTGGCACCTGGCCAAAGAGGGCCAGCGCGGTCTTAAATTCTGCCCCCTTGCCTTATCTTTTAGAACTTCAGTGCGTTGGTGGTGGCCTTGTTCTTGCTGCTAAAGAGCCAACGGTTTTCACTGTGCCAACATTAGCTGTTCCAAACGTGTTGTGACTCAGAGTGGGAGAACCCAAGGTATTTGTTAATTTCACCCACCCCTGTTCCCACTAGAACAGTATGGGAGTTTATTCTGTTCATCTTTCTACCCATTGTCTAGTTTGTATATTGTTATGATTCACTGATCTTTAAATGATCTCCCTGTATGAGTCAAATCT